CTCACTCCTGTAATCCCTCTCTTGTAGTCCCTCACTCCTGTAGTCCCCTCCTCTTGTAGTCCCCTCCTCTTGTGTCCCTCACTCTTGTAGTCTCCTCCTCCTGTAGTCCCTCACTCTTGTAGTCCCTCACTCTAGTCTCCTCCTCCTGGTCCCTCACTCCTGTAGTCTCCTTCTCCTGTTCCTCTTTGTAGTCCTCCGCCTGTAGTCCTCCTCCTGTAGTCCCTCCTCCTGTAGTCCCTCACTCCTGTAGTCCTCCTCCTGTAGTCCTCACTCTTTTCTCCTCCTCCTGTAGTCCCCTCCTCTTGTAGTCCCCTCACTCTTGTAGTCCCTCACTCTTGTAGTCCCCTCCTCTTGTAGTCTCCTCACTCCTGTAGTCCTCACTCTTGTAGTCCCTCCTCCTGTAGTCTCCTCACTCCTGTAGTCCCCTCACTCCTGTAGTCCTCACTCTTGTAGTCCCTCACTCTTTTAGTCCTCCTCCTGTAGTCCTCCTCCCTCTTGTAGTCCCTCCTCCTGTAGTCCTCACTCCTGTAGTCCCTCACTCTTGTAGTCCCCTCCTCCTGTAGTCCTCTCCTCCTGTAGTCCCCTCACTCCGTAGTCCCCTCATCCTGTAGTCCCCTCACTCCTGTAGTCCCCTCACTCCTGTAGTCCCTCACTCTTGTAGTCCTCTGACTCTTGTAGTCCCCTCCTCTGTTCCTCACTCCTTTAGTCTCCTCACTCCTGTAATCCCCTCTCTTGTAGTCCCCTCCTCCTGTAGTCCCCTCACTCCTGTAGTCCCTCACTCTGTAGTCCTCCTCTTGTAGTCTCCTCCTCCTGTAGTCCCCTCACTCTTGTAGTCCCTCACTCCTAGTCTCCTCACTCCTGTAGTCCCTCACTCTTGTAGTCTCCTTACTCCTGTAGCCCCTCTTTGTAGTCCCCTCACTCCTGTAGTCCCTCCTCCTGTAGTCCCCTCACTCCTGTAGTCCCCTCACTCTTGAGTCTCCTCACTCCTGTAGTCCCCTCCTCTTGTGTCCCTCCTCCTGTCCCCACTCCTGTAGTCCCCTCACTCTTGTAGTCTCCTCCTCCTGTGTCCTCACTCTTGTAGTCCTCACTCCTGTGTCTCTCCTCCTGTAGTCCCTCACTCCTGTAGTCCCTCACTCTTGTAGTCCCCTCACTCTTGTAGTCCCCTCCTCCTGTAGTCCTTCACTCTTGTAGTCCTCACTCCTGTAATCCCCTCCTCCTGTAGTCCCCTCACTCCTGTAGTCCCCTCACTCCTGTAGTCCCCTCACTCCTGTAGTCCCCCACTCCTGAGTCCCCTCCTCTTGTAGTCCTCTGACTCTTGTAGTCCCCTCCTCCTGTAGTCCCCTCCTCATGTAGTCTCCTCACTCTGTAATCCTCTTGTAGTCCCCTCACTCCTGTAGTCCCTCACTCCTGTAGTCCCTCACTCTGTAGTCCTCACTCTTGTAGTCTCCTCATCCTGTAGTCCCCTCACTCTTGTAGTCCCCTCACTCCTAATCTCCTCACTCCTGTAGTCCCCTCACTCTTGTAGTCTCCTTCTCCTGTAACCCCCTCTTGTAGTCCCCTCCTCCTGTAGTCCCCTCACTCCTGTAGTCCCCTCACTCTGTAGTCCCTCACTCTTGTAGTCTCCTCACTCCTGTAGTCCCTCTTGTAGTCCTCTCCTAGTCCCTCCTCCTGTAGTCCTCACTCTTGTAGTCTCCTCACTCCTGTAGTCCCTCACTCTTGTAGTCCCCTCACTCCTGTAGTCTCCTCACTCCTGTAGTCCCCTCCTCCTGTAGTCCTCACTCTTGTAGTCCCTCCTCTTGTAGTCCCCTCACTCCTGTAGTCCTTCCTCTTGTAGTCCCCTCACTCCTGTAGTCCCTCACTCCTGTAGTCCCTCACTCTTGTAGTCCCCTCACTCCTGTAGTCCTCTCCCTCCTGTAGTCCCCTCACTCTTGTAGTCTCATCACTCCTGTAATCCCTCTCTTGTAGTCCCCTCCTCCTGTAGTCCCCTCCTCCTGTGTCCCCTCACTCCTGTAGTCCCTCCTCCTGTAGTCCCCTCCTCCTGTAGTCCTCACTCTTGTAGTCCCCTCACTCCTGTAGTCCCCTCCTCTTGTAGTCCCCTCCTCCTGTAGTCCCCTCCTCCTGTAGTTCCCTCACTCCTGTAGTCCCTCCTCTTGTAGTCTCCTCACTCCTGTAGTCCCTCACTCTTGTAGTCCCCTCACTCCTAGTCCCCTCACTCCTGTAGTCCCCTCCTCTTGTAGTCTCCTCACTCCTGTAGTCCCTCACTCTTGTAGTCCTCTCACTCCTGTAGTCTCCTCCCTCCTGTAGTCCCCTCACTCCTGTAGTCCCTCACTCTTGTAGTCCCCTCACTCTTGTAGTCCCTCACTCCTGTAGTCCCTTCGCTCTTGTAGTCCCTCACTCCTGTAGTCTCCTCACTCCTGTAGTCCTTACTCCTGAGTCCTCCTCTTGTAGTCCCTCACTCTTGTAGTCCCCTCACTCCTGTAGTCCTTCACTCTTGTAGTCCTCTCTCTCCTGTAGTCCACTCTTGTAGTCTCCTCACTCCTGTAATCCTCTCTTGTAGTCCCCTCCTCTGTAGTCCCTCACTCCTGAGTCCCTCCTCCTGTAGTCCTCACTCCTGTAGTCCTCCTCCTGTAGTCCCTCCTCTTGTAGTCCTTACTCCTGAGTCCCTCCTCCTGTAGTCCCCTCACTCTTGTAGTCCCCTCTGTAACTCACTCACTCACCCACTCACTGAGAGTGAAGTTTTGGCAGGAGCCGTGCAGTCCTCACCAACCCAGCTTATGAAATAAAGGTCGACCGTGTTATGATCTTGATTAAGTTTCGAGGAAGCGAGTTTATTTGTTGTCGGTGGTGGTGGAGCAACTCTCTGGTGGTGGAGCAACTGTCTGGTGGTGGAGCAACTCTCTGGTGGTGGAGCAACTCTCTGGTGGTGGAGCAACTCTCTGGTGGTGGGCAACTCTCTGGTGGTGGAGCAACTGTCTGGTGGTGGAGCAACTCTCTGGTGGTGGAGCAACTCTCTTGTGGTGGAGCAACTCTCTGGTGGTGGAGCAACTCTCTGGTGGTGGAGCAACTCTCTGGTGGAGCAACTCTCTGGTGGTGGAGCAACTCTCTGGTGGTGGAGCAACTGTCTGGTGGTGGAGCAACTCTCTGGTGGTGGAGCAACTGTCTGTGTGGTCGTGGAGCAACTCTCTGGTGGTGGAGCAACTCTCTGGCTGGTGGAGCAACTCTCTGGTGGATGGAGCAACTCTCTGGTGGTGGAGCAACTCTGGTGGTGGAGCAACTCTCTGGTGGTGGAGCAACTCTCTGGTGGTGGAGCAACTCTCTGGTGGTGGAGCAACTCTCTGGTGGTGGAGCAACTGTCTGGGCAACTCTCTGTGGTGGTGGAGCAACTCTCTCTGGTGGTGGAGCAACTCTCTGGTGGTGGAGCAACTGTCTGGTGGTGGAGCAACTCTCTGGTGGTGGAGCAACTCTCTGGCTGGTTGGGCAACGCTCTGGTGGTGGGAGCAACTCTCTGGTGGTGGAGCAACTCTCTGGGTGGTGGAGCAACTCTCTGGTGGTGGAGCAACTCTCTGGTGGTGGAGCAACTCTCTGGTGGTGGAGCAACTCTCTGGTGGTGGAGCAACTCCTGGCTGGTGGAGCAACTCTCTGGTGGTGGAATAACTCTCTGGTGGTGGAGCAACTCTCTGGTGGTGGAGCAACTGTCTGGTGGTGGAGCAACTCTCTGGTGGTGGAGCAACTCTCTGTGGTGGAGCAACTCTCTGGTGGTGGAACCTCTGTCTGGTGGTGGAGCAACTCTCTGGTGGTGGAGCAACTCTCTGGCTGGTGGAGCAACTCTCTGGTGGTGGAGCAACTCTCTGGTGGTGGAGCAACTCTGGTGGTGGAGCAACTCTCTGGTGGTGGCGCAACTCTCTGGTGGTGGAGCACCTCTGGTGGTGGAGCAACTCTCTGGCTGGTGGAGCAACTCTCTGGTGGTGGAGCAACTCTCTGGTGGTGGGCAACTCTCTGGTGGTGGAGCAACTCTCTGGTGGTGGAGCAACTCTCTGGTGGTGGAGCACCTCTGGTGGTGGAGCAACTTCTGGTGGTGGAGCAACTCTCTGGTGGTGGAGCAACTCTCTGGCAGTGGAGCACTCTCTGGGTGGTGGAGCAACTGTCTGGGGTGGAGCAACTCTCTGGTGGTGGAGCAACTCTCTGGTGGTGGAGCAACTCTCTGCTGGTGGAGCAACTCTCTGGTGGTGGAGCAACTCTGGTGGTGGAGCAACTCTCTGGTGGTGGAGCAATCTCTGGTGGTGGAGCAACTCTCTGTGGTGGAGCACTCTTGGTACTCTCTGGTGTGCACTCTCTGGTGGTGGAGCAACTCTCTGGGTGGTGGAGCAACTCTCTGGCTGGTGGAGCAACTCTCTGGTGGTGGAGCAACTCTCTGGTGGTGGAGCAACTCTCTGTAAAGACATTGTTCGACCATTTCGGAAGTATCTTATGAACAAACCCGTCCTCCTCTTAATTCTCTTTCTCCTCCTCCTCTTCCTTCCTTCCCCTCTTCCTCTTTCTCCTCCTCTTACTTCTCTTCCTCCAAAATTATCATCTCTACCCATTCTGAGATTTAATTTATCCCTTTTTTATTCCTCCTCCTGTCTCTCTCTCTCTCTCTCTCTCTCTCTCTCTCTCTCTCTCTCTCTCTCTCTCTCTCTCTCTCTCTCTCTCTCACACACACACACACATACATAATATTTTTTTCCAGGTTGAAATGTTTTGAAAATGTTTATAATTTATTTTACTTCAGATGAAAATGTTAACCCAAATTTCCCTACATTTAGTTTCATGAACTTTTCCTCATTTTCCTGGATAATGAATAAATTTTCCTTTCATTCTTGACTTAAATTATTATCTTATTTTCTCATTATTTTTTTTTCTCAGTGTATTTTTTTTTGGGTTTGTTTTAATTTATTATATATATTGTTTTTTTTTATCTATGTGAATTTATAATATTTTTTCTCTTGTTTTTTTTCCTTCAGATTCTTTTTCATTCTTATCATCAGGAAGATTGAGAAGTAAGCATAGTAAAAGAGTTTGTTTGTCCTGCTTGTTTGGTTTTGTTTGTTTGTTTGTCCTGCTTGTTTGGTTTTGTTTGTTTGTTTGTCCTGCTTGATATAGTTTTCCTTACTGTCTAGTATCGTTTCTAAAGGCTTTTAATTTGTTGTTTTGTTTTGCGATCATTCCAAAATAACAAGTAATAGTATCCTTAATTGTATGTATGTATGTATGTATGTATGTATGTATGTATTTATGTATGTATGTATGTATGTATGTATATATGTATGTATTTATGTATGTATGTATGTATGTATGTACTTTTGAACCCTTTAAAAGTGTTGAACCTTTAGGCAAACTTTATATTAGTGAAACCTTGTGTGAAACCCCTTATTAGTCAACCTAACCTGAAGCAAACCTAACCTAACCTAACCTAAACCTCAACCCAACCAAACCTAACATATATATACGGTATATATTTATTAACCTTAACCTATAAAAAAAATTGACCCTTTGATTATAAACACTATTTGGAGGCTGACCTTTAACCTTTGACCTCGTATGTTTCAGGCGACGAGGAGAAGATGTTAAGTATTACGCCGTCAGGAGATGAACAGAGTGTCTTCCAAGGTGACAGCTTCTTCGTCTCCTGCTCCAGCGAGGCGACCACCGTGCAGAGGGTCATGTGGACGGGTCCAGAGGGTCAGCAGATCACCGACTACAAGGGCAGGTCAGGTCATACTAGGTCATGGGGGAGAGATAATTGTCATGGTGGGTGTTATGGTGGGAGAGGTATGGGTATATATGGTGTTATGGTGGAGGTATGTTAGTTAATATATGGTGTTATGGTGGGTGGTATGGTGGTTAATATATGGTGTTATGGTGGGTGTATGTATATTATATGGTGTTATGGTGAGAGGTATGGTGGTTTATATATGGTGTTATGGTGGAGGTATGTTAGTTAATATATGGTGTTATGGTGGGTGGTATGGTGGTTAATATATGGTGTTATGGTGGGTATATAGTTAATATATGGTGTTATGGTGGGTGGTGTATGGTGGTTAATATATGGTGTTGTGGTGGTATGGTGGTTAATATATGGTGTTATGGTTGGTGGTATGGTGGACTGTGTATGGTGTTATGGTGGGTGCTATGGTGGTTAATATATGGTGTTATGGTGGAGGTATGTTAGTTAATATATGGTGTTATAGTGGGTGGTATGGTGGACTGTGTATGGTGTTATGGTGGGTGCTGGTGGTTAATATATGGTGTTATGGTGAAGGTATGGTACTTAATATATATATGTATGGGATTATGGGGGAGGTATGGTAGTCAATATATGGGTTCAGGGCCAGATATGGTGGTCAGTGATGAGGTCTATGGGGAGATTACCATAGTGCGTCAAGTGAGGTCAAATGGGCAAATGACGTCATCTTAGGTCACACTAGGATGCTTATGGATCGGACTATGTAATTGGGTAGTTATTTACACCTGTCTGAAATGTTAACACCTGTCTGAAATGTTAACACCTGTCTGAAATCTACGTCTAACCAATTAGATTAATTTTTCCTACCAAGACTTATAAGACAAGATGATGATTATAAGCCTTGGGTGAGATACAACAGGGGGTTATGAAGTTCTCCGTCAACAATGGGGTTAATTTTTAAAGAGTTGAAAGTTGGGTTAGATTACCTGACCTCCTCTCCCCCCCCCTCTCTCCTCCTTCCCCTCCCCCTCACCCACTCCCTTCCTCACCCACCTCCCCATCCACTCCCTACCCCCCTGTTCCGTGTCTCTGATCTTATTGGAGTCTTGAGAGATTTAGGGAGTTGATTCTTCGATATCCCTTACTCGAGGACGATCTAGGGAGACTGTTGTAGTGAACCAGAGATGTCACTTAAAATTACGTTCATTTTGGTCTCTTGTTTGTGAATGATTGTTGATGTAAGTGTGTGTGTGTGTGTGTAATAATATATATAATAATTAACGGTTTATTGAAAAGTTCTGCAGCCCGAAGGCTGAAAATATACATTGGACATAAATGACTTATTACATACATTGGTGGTTTAACAAAAGCCTTCATTAGTAGAAAGGTGAAGAACATACAGTGAACATATGGATTAATGTAGGTGTTGAACAGCAAACACGTAGTGTAGTAACTCTCTCCCAGATGGTTATGCGGGGCCTCGTAGTGTAGTAACTACCTCCCAGATGGTGTAAGGAGGGACCTCACGTGGTGTAGTAGTTCCCTCACAGATGGTGTTATGCGGGGCCTCACGTGGTGTAGTAATTCCCTCACAGATGGTGTTATGTGGGGCCTCACGTGGTGTAGTAGTTCCCTCACAGATGGTGTTATGAGGGGCCTCACGTGGTGTAGTAATTCCCTCACAGATGGTGTTATGAGGGCCTCACGTGGTGTAGTAATTCCCTCACAGATGGTGTTATGAGGGCCTCACGGTGTAGTAATTCCCCACAGATGGTGTTATGAGGGCCTCACGTGGTGTAGTGCACTCTCACAGATGGTGTTATGAGGGGCCTCACGTTGTGTATTAATTCCCCCACAGATGGTGTTATGAGGGGCCTCACGTGGTGTAGTAATTCCCTCACATATGGTGTTATGAGGGGTCTCACGTGGTGTAGCAATTCCCTCACAGATGGTGTTATATGAGTGAGGTGTGGTTCCAGGCCTTCCTATGGTAGACGGATTAACACATCGCTGGTTGTTGGGTCTCACGGGCCGTTATCACTGGGTACCTGGGACCTCACTGTGTGAAGGTCAACTTGGGTACCACTGTTACTGTTGAGTTGTTCTCACTGACTTAAGCACTGTTCACCACTGTTCACCTCTGTTTAACACTGGTTCCATTCCTTTCCTAAATGAGATAGTAACTTCTGGCGTGAACTTGTTGATATTCCGGTGGGGAGGAGGGTTCAGGGGAGGGAGTTGGTATGGGCCAACTTAACAGTTGACCTGGCTGCTCCGGGAGGAGCGCCCGGTACGTCTTGACCCTTCGGTGGTCAAGGATGGTGTGTGTGTGTGTGTGTGTGTGTGTGTGTGTGTGTGTGTGCTTCACTCAAGACAGTAATGGTGTCTTCTCTTCTTTGTTTACGTTTTGCATTGTTTTGTTTTGTCTCTTACCTGGAGACTGTGAGAGACTGTCTTTAGTTTAACGTGACTGTAGACTGTCATGGAACTGTCAGGAGACTGGTGGTGTCATATGACTGGTGAGGCCCCGAGGAGGTCAAGTGTGTCACCCATTAGCGACAAGTTGACCCCGTGGTAACCCAACCCTGAGATCTCTTATACAGGTCCCTCTCCTCCTCCTCCTCCTCCTCCTCCTCCTCCTTCTCCTTCTCCTCCTTCGTCGTCTTCTTCTTCTCGCCTTTCTCTTTGTCCTCCTCCTCCTCCTGTTTCCTATCTTCCTCATAACCCTCACCTTTCTTTACCTTCTCTTCCTCCTCCTCCTCCTCTTCTTCTCCCTCCTTCGTCGTCTTCTTCTTCCCCGCCTTTCTTTGTCCTCCTCCTCCTCCTGTTTCCTATCTTCCCTCATAACCCCTCACCTCTTTTATCTCCTCCTCCTCCTCCTCCTTTTTCCTTCTCCTCCTTCGTCGTCTTCTTCTTTCTCGCCTTCTTATCCTCCTCCTCCTCCTGTTTCTATCTTCCCCATGTAACCCCACCTTTCTTTCCCTTCTCTTCCTCCTCCTCCTCCTCTTCTTCCTTGTACTCCTTACCTTCACTCCCCTCTTCCTTGTCCTCCTCCTCCTCCTCCTGTACATGTCTCTCCGGATGCCAACCTTCCTTCCCTGCAGACAACTCTCCAGGTCCTCTCTAACTCTTTTGTAAACAGAGAGACTTTTCTTATCTCTCTAGGATGCCGAGACGGGGGAGAACTTTTTGGTGTGTCCTTGATGAGACTCTAGTTGTTGCTGGGCAGAGACGGAGAGAACTCGACTTATCTCAAAACAAACTATGAGACTATAATCATTTCTTTGTTTTTCGCTACTAAAGTCTGTGGGGTTATGTAGAATGTTTATAATCAGGAAAAAACATTATTCTATTCCATTTATTTCCGTCATTATTCTTAAAGTTTATTTAGATGTTGTACAAATTTATTTATTCATTTATGTATTGGGATATTTAAATTTATTCCCTTGGGTAAAAAAATTATTCGCCAGGTGTGTTATGTAGATCTCAGTTGTGTTGGTTGGTTTATGATGTAGTGTTTATATCACCTTGGTCATCATAACCTTTTGAGATCGGTCAAAGGTCAAAGGTCAAGGTCCCAGGAGGTCAAAGTTTTATTTATCCAGATTTTTAATATTTGTGTTAGATTTCAGCCTGTGGTTCATTAGGTTTATTGTCCGTCTCTCAGGTGAAGGGCGTTGAGGTATAGAGATAACAGGTGTGAGACAGACAGACAGAACGAGTGAGAGAAACAGAGAGACACAGACATACAGCCAAACGGAGAGAAAGAGAACAATGATAAATAACTATTAACTACGTTGAGACTTAGTGTGTGTGTGTGTGTGTGTGTGTGTGTGTGTGTGTGTGTGTGTGTGTGTGTGTGTGTGTACGTAACCTAAAAAGTTCTGGTTGACTTCCATGGTCAGATTCAATGATAATTATTAATGTTCAGTGTTTTGTCCATTGAATCTTCATCGCAAAGTGAGGTGTGTCCGACCACCATGTTCACTACAGATCACCAGGTCTCGTGTTCACTACAGATCACCAGGTCTCGTGTTCACTACAGATCACCAAGAGAATCACCAGGACTTTTAAGACGTCTCGTTAGTGATAGGAAGGAAGTCAGTCAATGTGTCTGTCTTCTCGTTAATGACGGCAGGTGAGAAGATGACCGACCTCCTACCTGGCGAGCTTACCCCATCTCTGTGTGTGGTGGGGGGGGGAGAGTACAGGTGTGTAGGGGAGGGTACAGGTGTGTGAGGGAGGAGGGCAGGTGTTTAGGGGAGGGCACAGGTGTTTAGGGGAGGGAAAGTATTGGTGTATGGGGGGAGGGTAAAAGTATGTGGGGGATGGTACAGGTGTGTGGGGGAGGGTACAGGTGTGTTAGGAAAGGTACAGGTGTGTTAGCAAGGGTACAGGTGAAGGAAGATACAGGTGTGTTAGGAAGGGTACAAGTGTGTTAGGAATGTTACAGATGTGTAGAGGAGGATACAGGTGTGTTAGGAATGGGATAGGTGTGTAAAGGAGGAAAGGTACAGGTGTGTAAGGGAGGTTATAAGGTATGTGACAGGTGTGTGTGTGTGTGTATGTAGGGAAAGGTAACACATGTAACTAACAGATATATATGTAGGAAAAATTATTCAAATTGACTTTATTCTGTTAATTTTTTATCTTATTGTTAGATTATGTCATTTATCTAAGTTCTTACAGCAATGTGTTTGTGTGTGTTTATGGAGAACAAACACTCACAAACACCTACAGTACATCGCCTGGAGTTTATGACCTGTAGGTGTTTTATTTTTCTGATATATATATTAACAAAACCAATTTACTTATTTTTAGTAATATCACCATTAGCACCATCACCAGCACTTCAAAATCACCAATCATTTACTTTCTCTCAATTTCGTAGCCTTATCATTATATCTCACAATTTATCACATCCCTGTCACCACCACTAGCACCACCCACCTCCACTACCACCATTTGTCATCACTATCGACACTCACTCAGTAACTATTAGCACCTTCATCGTGATTCATTGCCACTACTACCACTCCCAACCACCACCACCACTACTACCACTCCCAACCACCACCACCACCACTACAACCACAACTCAAACACAACAAGAAAACAACACTAGACCTCATTAACCTTACAGACAAATTAAAATAATAATAATAATAATTTTAACCAAGTGAGAAAGTCAGTTCAGAGCCGCCAGTGTCGAGTCAGTTCCTGGTCAGTGGAGACACAAAGTCAGTCTTAAAACACCAGAGACCACGAATAAATGTGTGTGTGTGTGTGTGTGTGTGTGTGTGTGTGTGTGTGTGTGTGTGTGTGTGTGTGTGTGTGTGTGTGTGTAATAAACTAATTCTCCCATACGAAGTCAGTTCATTGTCGAGTCTTGTTGGCGAAGGTAGTATTGCTACCTCATGTCAACATAACCAGCTGACCTGACCTGACCTAACCTATCCTAACACTGCCTCGTTGTCTTGTATGGGTCATTAAACAAGGTCTCTGGTGTTTAAATGTTTTGTCTACATCTATAACATTAATTATTGCCCAGCACTCACTCACTCGCTACACGTGCACCATAAATATGTAACTGTAATGCATCTTATTAATCACTAATTCACATTTCACTTTATATTTTGCAGAAACTGTATTATATTTATCATTATATTTCACTGTTTATCAATGTGTTTAACTTTATGCTTTGGTAAACTTTCTCTCTCAAACTATTTACAGATATTTGGTGTTCTTGATTATCTTTTTTCTCATTATTAAAAAAAATTACAATGTTAATGAGATTCTTGTGATGATGAGCTAAGGTTTTTAGTTGGCCTCGAGCGAAACTCTCTTGTTCTCTCTCTTCTACAGCGTGCCTTATAACGAGATCCCAAGGTGGGTGCCGTGGCATCATCCAGGTAGAGAGATGGCGCAGGATACCCTTCAGCTTTACCGTAACTTCGTTTTCTTTCATCATGTAGAACTGATGACAGAAAACGGAGGCGCCGTAATTTATTTTTATTTTTTTATTTTATTGCTTACTATTTTTAACTTTTGAATCATAGCATGTTGTTGCTGCCCACGACCTGGCGCTTGATTGATTCTTGTAAACATTAAACGTCCGTGATGATGAACACTATTAAATGTGTATGGTAAATCACGAAACCAAATGTCTCTGTGTAAAGCTGGAGTGAGTTACCAGTCAGGCTAGTTCTCTACGTTGATACACTCTAACCCGCTGGTGTTCTGTTACTCCTCGGCCTCTACCTTCTGCCAGGTCCTACATCATGAGCGCTTTAGAAAGCTAGACACTGTAACCAAGACTTGTTATTGTTGCTGCGCTTGATAACTCAGTCTGAAGCCTTTTTTTGTACAAGTCATGAATGTTTCGTGTCCATTAAGAACAAAAATGCTTTATTTTTTGCCATTTATTTTTGGTTCTTAATTTGAAACTCTATAAAAAAAAAAGCTGCAAGAGAAGTATTGTATGAATCTCTGGCTTTTGGCTGAATTTATTATTTTTATTTGTTAATGTTTTCTAGACCTGTCGTGTATGTCTGTCTGTTATGTGGCAGAGACCAACTCAAGCCCCATGCTATATACTGTATAATGTGGACCAACCAGACTTAACTTTCCTTAAGTTTGTTCTATATTTAGCAAGAAGTGACTGTACTAGGTATAGTTACTTAGTAAGATGATAAAGAATGTGGCTTTATTAGACTTAGTTCCATTTAGCACCACCGTGATATAATTAGTGATTGCAGTAGGTGACGGGACCATCAGTGTCTTAACAATCTGCTAAATTTAAATAAAACATCGTTGTAGTGATTAGTGTCTTGCTGCGACTATCACTGTCTTCACTAAACACCTTAAATTTATCGATTAGTGACCTACTCAAGTTAGCAAGATTTGCACTGTCTCGATTAGTGACCTGCTACAGTTAGCGAGAACTTAAATGTCTCGATTAGTGACCTGCTACAGTTAGCGAGAACTTAAATGTCTCGATTAGTGACCTGCTACAGTTAGCGAGGACCAGAGTCTGGGGTAGTAAGCACGCACCCCCTCATTAGCAGCCTGACGGTAGTACAGTAGGTACCTGCACCTTCCACTTACCTCCATCTCTACTCATCCCTTGTTTTTATCACCATCTTGATTTTCCATATATATATATATATATATATATATATAAGCTGAATAAAACTACATTTCTTTAAGGTACTGTAGGTTAAAGTATAGAAGAGAGTTGTTTCAGACAAATCTCGGCTTAGTCTTTAATGCCATAATAATTACAGGAGTTTTTGTAGTCCATTTTGTAGTGTAAAATTTAATACAGTAATCAGAAGCGGTGTTTGGGTTACAGTCGACGTCTTCACACACTATCCTCCTTAAGAGTCACCTGTTAAAAGTTGTTTACCTTAACTTCCTACTAAATGGTGATGTGAGAGTGTATATAACTAAGTCTCCCCTCACTTAATTAAACGTTGGGATTGCACTGAAGCGTCTACTGTCATTAATTGCGTGTATATACCACCCTCTTCCTCCCCTTCTTCCTCTTCCCACAGTTACTGGTAGTGATTTAACGAACATAGTCAAGGGAACCTGAAGCCAGACCCGCAGACTGGCAACAACCGTCCCTCTCTTCCCCCGAACATGACTGAATAGGAACCTCCGTTTTCTCTCATCGATGCAACACGTTCGATTGCTTTTCTATGAACCCGAAGCTAATGACGTGTTGTGTTGTTGACAATGGTGCTGTCGACACGTCTCTCCTCAATGCCAAAGCGTCTCATACTCGTGGCCAGGGAGGAGCAGCGGCTATTGTACTGTCTCGGAAGCCATGACGTCAGAGCCCATGGTCGATTACAGTTTTTTTTCCCTTCTTTCAAAACTCACTAATTTGGTACCGGGAAGAATCCTCCTCCTGTGCTGAGTCTCTTCAACTTCTTGTCGTCGAGGAACTGACCCCAGAGATTGTACCTCCCATTTGATTTTGTTCATACTTACGTCACCCTTAAGTCATGTGAGGTCAGAGTTTCAGATGTTCAGTGTTTTTCGCTACACTTACACTAGCTCACTGCAAATGACAACTGAGAACTGGTCATCCAAATAACTCTGAGATTACGAGTAAGACAGTTAGTGAAGTTTGTGTTATAGTGCAATACTGTCCATCAACATCCAAGGTCTTTAAGTTTCGTAGTTAATAACACTTATTTACCAACCAATTATGATGATATTAAACCATATTTACAAACCTTGACACAAGACTCGTATTTGAGGCGAAAACATAAAGTAGGAAACTTCAGGAGTCAGGGCCTAGACATACCCTCAGGGGAAGACGCGTCTCTCCTGAGGTCTTCATCAGTCGTTGTGGTCCCTCGTCATTTAACACATCATCAAGAATCTGGTACTTTGAGATAATATAACGTGGTAAGATTCTCCTGTCATCCATAAGTGCTTTCATATTGATGCTTATTTACAGTACAATCACACTGTAACTGTCACTCTACGGTCGCCAATTCACACTACGATCGCCAACTCACACTACGGCCGCCAACTCACACTACGGCCGCCAACTTAGTAGAACTTAACACACGAGTCTAGGAGGAGTCACAGAAACTCGTACGTTGTATTTTTCTCCCAAATACCGATACAAGGATGCGTCTACCTGGCTGACATAAGTTACGTCACACGATAATTAAATGGACCAAATGGCATCACCAACATCATTACTACGTGAGGTTGAAGGAGGCTGGCTGAGTCATGTCTTAAAGGGTGCTACCAACATCTTCAGTTACACCTTAATTGACTTCTCCTCCCTGTACCGCCAGCGCCTCTTACACCTTGTACTGTATTCTGCTTTTTCCTGGATTTGTTTTGTGTTTATGATAATTATTAACGTAAATTTAAAAGTCCAGGTATGTGTTATCATTTCTTAGATATTATAGAACAGGGCGTTACGAAGGGTTGGTATTATTTAGTAGTCTGTGAAGAATTTTTTTTTTTTTCTGAATTACGTATTTATTTATTGAAAAAAATCAATAATAATAATAATAATAACAATAATAATGATAATAATAATAATAATAACAATAATCTTTTGAAATGACAAACAATCGTCAACAACAGGACCCGAAAATTTTATTTGATAAAGCACCAACACAGTCGGTCGTTTAGTTACCGTGAGTGACGCCCAATTACTCCAAAATGGTTTCAATTGATCAGATTAACTTGGTTTGTCGGACAGTTTTATTCACGTTCCTAGCCGTCTATTTTTAAAACGTGATGAAATAAAACATTCGTGTACGTTTCTCAGTTAAATGTGTATGGATAATCTGTTAACATTTCACATTATTTTGATTTCTCAGTAACGTTTCTATTGAGTAAGGAACGTAAGGCGCCTTCCCGTCAAAAATTTTACCCAGCGCCAATGTTTATCATCCTGGTGTGTGATTCGCTTTTGTTTTATCTTACCTATCTATCTTTCAGGTTTATGTAACAATTATTAAAAAAAGTCTATGACAATTAATTCAAAACGTACGAGAGTTTAACACCGACATAGAATACATCAAAGACAAAAAAAAAAAAATCATTGAAAGCCGCTGTTACAATATCCGAAAACGACCAAAAAAATTTAAATTATCCCCCGAAAAGTTTGTCAAAGTAATTTCGATATTTTTTTTAGAAGAGTAGTTTGCTATTGGAAGTTATTAATTATTATTTTTGTATTATTAGTTTATGTAGAGTCGTATTTTGTTTTATAGAGAATGTGATCGAATGACTTGTCTTGAGCCTGCATGTTCTGTCGGACTGTTGCTTGCATGGATCTTTGAGTCGCACGAAGCGTCTATAGCTGCATCAACTACTGCTTGCTGGGGGTGATGTGAGTGTCTGTCGTGATTTTTGAAAGTTTGTTGTGATTTTTTAAGGTTTGTTGTATGTGAGTTTGTTGTGTGTGAGTTTGTTGTATGTGAATTGTGTGAGAGTTTGTTGTGTGTGAGTTTGTTGTGTGTGAGTTTGTTGTGTGAGTGTGTTGTGTGAGAGTTTGTTGTGTGAGAGTTTCTTGTGTGGGAGTTTCTTGTGTGAGAGTTTGTTGTGTGTGAGTTTGTTGTGTGAGAGTTTGTTGTGTGAGAGTTTGTTGTGTGAGAGTGTGTTGTGTGGGAGTTTGTTGTGTGTGAGTTTGTTGTGTGAGTTTGTTGTTGTGTGAGAGTGTGTTGTGTGGGAGTTTGTTGTGTGTAGGTTTGTTGTGTGAGTTTGTTGTGTGAGAGTGTGTTGTGTGGGGAGTTTGTTGTTTGAGTTTGTTGTGTGAGAGTTAGTTGTGTGAGAGTGTGTTGTGGGAGTTTGTTGTGTGTGAGTTTGTTGTGTAGTGTGTTGTGTGAGAGTTTCCTGTGTGAGAGTTTGTTGTGTGGGGAGGAGTTTCTGTGTGAGAGAGTTTGTTGTGTGAAAGTTTGTTGTGTGAGTGTGTTGTGTGAGAGTTTGTTTGTGTGGGGTTGTTGTGTGAGAGTTTCCTGTGTGAGTTTGTTGTGTGGGAGTTTCCTGTGTGAGGTTTGTTGTGTGAGAGTTTGTTGTGTGAGAGTGTGTTGTGTGAGAGTTTGTTGTGTGGGGTTTCCTGTGTGGGAAGTTTGTGTGGGAGTTTCCTGTGTGTAGAGTTTGTTTGTGTGCGAGTTTGTTTGTGTGAGAGTTTGTTGCGTGAGAGTTTGTTGTGTGAGAGTTTATTGTGTGAGAGTTTGTTGTGTGTGAAGAGTTTATTGTGTGAGAGTTTGTTGTGTGAGAGTTTGTTGCGTGAGAGTTTGTTGTGTGAGAGTTTGTTGTGTGAGAGTTTATTGTGTGAGAGTTTATGTGAGAGTTTATTGTGTGAGAGTTTATTGTGTGAGAGTTTGTTGTGCTAGAGTTTATTGTGTGAGAGTTTATGTGAGAGTTTATTGTGTGAGAGTTTATTGTGTGAGAGTTTGTTGTGTGTGAGTTTATTGTGTGAGAGTTTATTGCGTGAGAGTTTGTTGTGTGAGAGTTTATTGTGTGAGAGTTTGTTGTGTGTGAGACTAATTATCTCCAATTCTCCCACGAAGCTTTCAGTCTCTTTGTCTCTTATTAAAAGTCTCCCAATCAACTCTTGTTAAATCTGTCTCAATTATCTCTTGTTAAACCTGTCTCATTTATATCTTGTTAAATCTGTCCCAATTTTCTCTTGTTAAAACTGTCTCAATTATCTCTTGTTAAACCTGTCTCATTTATCTCTTGTTAAGTCTATCCCAATTTTCTCTTGTTAAATCTGTCTCATTTATCTCTTGTAATAGATTTAATGACTTTAATTTTCTTTAATCTTCTCTTATTACTAATCTTATTTAACTTGCGGCTAATCGGTATTGTTAGTACAGTACATATGTTAAGGCATAATTAAGGGTCTAATTACAGCCTAATTAGCAGTTTAATAAAGCATACTGTTTTTAACGTTCTTACTAATAACTCTGAGGTACTAATTCGCTTTTTTTCTAACAATAGCTTTTGACTTCATAAATAGCATTACTAATTATCTAAATAGCAGTACTTATTTCCTTAATAGCAGTACTAATTTTCCTAACAGCAGTGCTAATTTTCTTAACAGCAGTACTAATTTTCTTAACAGCAGTACTAATTTTCTTAACAGCAGTGCTAATTTTCTTCATAAATAGCAATACTAATTCTTTAAATAGCAGTACTTATTTCCTTAATGGCAATACAAATTTTCTTAATAGCCATACTAATTCCTTTAATAGCAGTACTAAATATCTTAATAGTAGTACTAATTCTGCAAATAGCAATACTAATTTATTTGTTGATAGCAATGTTAATTTTCTTAATAGCATTACTAACCCACTACTAGTTATCTAAATAATTGACTAAATTATTAACAAGCGTGATCTGCATTTGCTTTTTTTGTTAAAGTATTACTGTATTACCTTTAACATACATTAATTCATGGTATTTATTTTTTATTCTTTTAAATATTTTGATGTGTTAGTTTATGTGTATTATAGTGTACAGTATATACAGTTTATTCGTGTATGTATATATGTTGGCTAATGATTTTTATTCATTCATATTTTAATTATTATTTGTTTTGTTAATATTTGTAGTTATCCTGTTTTCTCTCTCCTCTCTGCATTATTCACTTTATTCTATTTTATTGTGAAGAATATATAGGTGTGTTTTATATATCATTAATTACAAGATAATGATTTACAGTTTCTTAATTTCTTCATTCTGAATTAAGACTTATTTTTGTCATTATTTATCATCCGTTTATTATGGTATAAATTATTGTTATTTTTGCTTGATATAATTATAATTTTGTGTTGTGCCTGTCAGTGTTGCATGATGACTGAACTGCTTGCTGGTGGTAAGTGTCCAGCTGATCACACTGTTGACGTCTCTGTTTTCTGAGGCATTGAGTGTGAGGCTGTTGGTGTGTTCCCTCCCCCCACCCTGGTGAAGCCTTGCGTGAGATCGCTAAGAAGAAATAAGCCGCCACAGCTGATTTTAGTAAACAAACCCCAATGATTGGTCAGTGTAGCTGAACCAGTCAGTGAACGTGGTGTTTTTTTTAATGTGCTGGTCCAGTGGTGTCTGTCGCTGTGTGGGCGGTAGACGGGTGTAAACAGATTCTTTTGGAAAGTAATTGTACATTAATTAAGTTCAGTTAAGTAGAAAGCGATATGGTCCCTGTCTTCCCCGTGTCGCGCCTCCCACCAGAAACTCCCTTATGAAACTATCTGACCTCTCACTAGTCAGTTTAAAGCAGAGTTGTGTTGGGTGGCAGAGCGTCATCAACGCCACTTCCCTCATTATTATATATTGTATTGGTCATCATCTCGCCTCTGCCAGGTCTTTAACACGACCCTCTTGGACGCTAAACACTTCAGTATAAATCAACTCTATGGTATCGGTTGAATATTTAACTTAATATATTCAAGTGTTTTCAAGGTACCGGCGCGACCACTGAACCGAGATTACCGACACTTACCGAAAAACACCAGACTTCGGTACCCACATCCCCTCTCACCACCGCCGCCGCGACCCCTCTCACCACCCCCGCCGCGACCCCTCTCACCACCCCCGCCACAGCCCCTCTCTCTCTGTAACTCCACCGCTTCGCTTGAACCTAAACCTTTGTGGCAACTCGCCACCACCCACCTCCTAGTGCCCCGCTAAACTCAGCCTCCACGCCACAATCTCCCCCTCCAGGATCCACGTAGAGGACGGCAGGTCAGGACACAAGGGGGTCGACCTGGTCTTTGAGAACATCACCCGGATGGATCGTGGCAATTACACCTGTTCAGCCAACGTTGACGGTGTCGAGGAGTCCAGGACCTTTCAGCTCTTCGTCGACAGTGAGTAATAATAATAATAATAATAATAATAATAATAATAATAATAATAGTAATAATAATAATAATAATAATAATAGGCTGAAACTACGCAATGAACAAAGGTGACCTAGATTACATAATGGCGACATTGAGGAATGGGTCATTTTAATTCAAGCTTTCGTTGCAAAAATAGCAGGAAACGTCAAATGAACATACTGTAGATGCTACTGAAATTACAGGAGGGTAGCTAGTTCTTGTAGTCATAATGCAAATGTGGTGTTGGACAGCTGTATAGGGGCGAGATCCGTTCCAAGATGAAGGTAGGTGAAGGGGCCGTGTACTGAGTGCCTTATGATAGGTGGAGGTTAAGTGGGGTAAGGCGATCAACAGTCTCCATGTGGCGGGGCCCCCATTTCACACATGGGCGTGAGATACTCGTCAGGCCTCTTGGTCACCACTGACTCGTGTTCACTGTCCACACTGCGTTTTCTATTATTATTGCAGTGGTTTCTTGATGGAGAGGAGCTCAATGCAGAATGCCAGTTGACGTGTTTACTCTAGTTAAGTCTTACAGCCCAGGGGTATAATTCGGACAGGTGAATGTTTATCAGTCAGTTATTTTCCTTCCTAAGACAAAGACATTTATTTTCAAACACCGTGACACTTGAGCTTCCTGCCTCCTTCACTACACAACTTGTGGAAAAACTTCGACCCCCCAAAACTATATTAAACTATATTCAAGAAATTCACAGGTCATATAATAGTCCTTTCATAGGCAGTAGCACTATATTGTCAATTTGAAAGACAACAACGTTATATCGTCGACTTAGATAAAAATTGTCGTTTCCAATATATCGGTGCGTCAGAGAGCCAGGCCACGTCGTTAACCCAGCGACGTTAACAAGGCCAAACTGGTCGTTATCTGTGAGTAGTGTCAGAGTCAATTGCACGTTTCCTATCGACGAATGTGTTTATGTATCGTTGGCATGTATCGTTAGGTCGTTTTATCACTGGTGTTGTACCGTTTGGCGATAAATGGTGCGATTGGCGCTAGGTACTCTCTCTCATGCATTGCAACCTAACCCTCCCCCCACACACAACTCCCTGTCACCAGTAATCCGCAAAATGCAAAGACACGATCCTTCATTATTATGTCGACTGAGAGTGTATGTTGTTTAAACCATTATCCATAAAAAGTTAATTCATCGTCCACAAAGGGTTAAATCATCGTCCTCAAAGGGTTAAACCATATTCCTCTAAAGGGTTAAACCATCGTCTTCAAAGGGTTAAACCATCATCCTCAATCAGCTAAGTCATCACCCACGAAAGTTAAACCATCGTCCTCAAAAACTTAAACCTAAAACAACTTGAGATGATTGTAACATGTCTGTAAGATTGACTACAGTCTGTTTACGAGTGAAAAGGTGTCGATTTAAAACAAAATGACATTATAGAATTTCGAGCCTTTTTAGGAAGTGGAATCCCTAGAGGTCATTCAGATCAATTTATTTTCATCCCTTGAACACCGTGTATTAATCAGTATCTCAAATAACTAACCTAACCCCTTCTAACGTAACCTAACCCAAACCTAACCAACTCTAACCTAACCTAACCCACCTCACACTTCACCAAGACTAACAGCTTCTTGACTTTCAGAGAGACTAAGCTTCAAGAATACCCCAGCTGTACAATACCTGGAGGAGGGCGTGTCATCCAAGATCAGGTGTGACGTTGAAGGTGATCCCGCCCCGAGGATAAAATGGCGCTTCCAGACCAGGGACATTGCTTACAGTAAGGGCTCATGTATACAGTAAGGGCTCATGTATACATTAAGACTCATGTATACAGTAAGGGCTCATGTATACATTAAAGACTCATGTATACAATAAGGGCTCATGTATACAGTAAAGATTCATGTATACAATATGGGCTCATGTATACAGTAAAGATTCATGTATACAGTAAGGGATATACAGTAAAGATATACAATAAGGGCTCATGTATACAGTAAAGATTCATGTATACAGTAAGGGCTCATGTATACAGTAAAGATTCATGTATAATAAGGGCTCATGTATACATTAAGACTCATGTATACAGTAAGGGCTCATGTATACATTAAAGACTCATGTATACAATAAGGGCTCATGTATACGATATGCGAATACTGATTTACTGTTTTTATACGTCACTGTTAATGCTTCTTTCTGTGTTATTATTCTCTCTCTCTCTCTCTCTCTCGTGCCTCTATTTTTGTGTCTAATTTTGTCTCTCGCCTCATACTAAGTCTCTTCGGCAGCTAACGACAAGTATGCAGTGAGCCCTGATGGACCTAGTGGCCTCATTGTCCACAACGTAACCCTGAACGATGCCGGCGAGTACCAGTGTATGGCCCTACAACTGTCTCTCCGTCACTCAGATATCAAGGAGTTCCCCATCAGTGTCAAGGTTCACCGTAAGTGTTGTAACTCATCTGTAACTCCTCTGACTCTTAACTGTACTGACTCTTAACTGTACTGACTCTTAACTGTACTGACTCAACTGTACTGATTCTTAACTGTACTGACTCTTAACTGTACTGACTCTTAACTGTACTGATTCTTAACTGTACTGACTCTTAACTGTACTGACTCTTAACTGTACTGATTCTTAACTGTACTGACTCTTAACTGTACTGACTCTTAACTGTACTGATTCTTAACTGTACTGACTCTTAACTGTACTGACTCTTAACTCTACTGACTCTTAACTCTACTGACTCTTAACTGTACTGATTCTTAACTGTACTGACTCTTAACTGTACTGATTCTTAACTGTACTGACTCTTAACTGTACTGACTCTTAACTATACGGACTCTCAACTGTACTGACTCTTAACTGTACTGACTCTTAACTATACGGACTCTCAACTGTACTGACTCAACTGTACTGACTCTTAACTGTACTGATTCTTAACTCTACTGACTCTTAACTCTACTGACTCTTAACTATACGGACTCTCAACTGTACTGACTCTCAACTGTACTGACTCAACTGTACTGACTCTTAACTGTACTGACTCTTAACTGTACTGACTCTCAACTGTACTGACTCTAAACTGTACTGACTCTTAACTGTACTGACTCTTAACTGTACTGACTCTTAACTGTACTGACTCTTAACTGTACTGACTCTCAACTGTACTGACTCTTAACTGTACTGACTCTTAACTGTACTGACTCTTAACTGTACTGACTCTCAACTGTACTGACTCTCAACTGTACTGACTCTTAGCTATACTGACTCTCGGCTATACTGACTCTCAACTGTACTGACTCTTAACTCTACTGACTCTTAACTCTACTGACTCTCAACTCTACTGACTCTTAACTCTACTGACTCTAAACTGTACTGACTCTCAACTGCACTGACTCAACTGTACTGACTCTCAACTTTGCTGACTCTCAACTGTACTGACTCTCAACTGTACTGACTCTCAACTGTACTGACTCAACTGTACTGACTCTCAACTGTACTGACTCAACTGTACTGACTCTCAACTTTGCTGACTCTCAACTGTACTGACTCTCACTGACTGTACTGACTCATCTGTACTGGACTCTCAACTTTACTGACTCTCAACTTTACTGACTCTCCAGTACTGACGCTGACTCTCAACTTACTGACTCTCAACTGTACTGACTCAACTGTACTGACTCAACTTAACTGACTCAACTCTACTGACTCAACGGACTCTCAACTTACTGACTCTCAACTGTACTGACTCAACTGTACTGACTCAACTTTACTGACTCTCAACTTTACTGACTCTCAACTGTACTGACTCAACTTCACTGACTTCAACTGTACTGACTCAACTGTACTGACTCTCAACTGTACTGACTCTAACTGTACTCGACTCTCACCTTACTGACTCTCAACTGTGCTGACGCTCAACTGCACTGGACGCTCAACTGTACTAACTCTCAACTGTACTGACTCTCAACTGTACTGACTCTCAACTTTACTGACTCTCAACTTTACTGACTCTCAACTGTACTGACTCAACTTTACTGACTCTCAACTGTACTGACTCAACTGTACTGACTCTCAACTGTACTGACTCTTAACTGTACTGACTCTCAACTCTACTGACTCTCAACTGTGCTGACGCTCAACTGTACTGACGCTCAACTGTACTGACTCTCAACTGTACTGATTCTCAACTGTACTGACTCTCAACTGTACTGACTCTTAACTGTACTGACTCTCAACTGTACTGACTCTTAACTATACTGACTCAACTGTACTGACCCTCAACTGTACTGACCCTCAACTGTACTGACTCTCAACTGTACTGACTCAACTATACTGACTCTTAACTATACTAACTCTACTCTGACTCCTCCACTGACTCAAAAATTGTTTCACCAGATATGCCTATGTGGTTGGATGATCAAAAGGTGCAGGCCTATAGCTACGTGACAGGTGAAGTGAATCTTACCTGTGAGGCCGAAGCCGAACCACACGCCAACTTTACCTGGATTAAGGAGGGTGAGGTCATTACTCCCTCTGACAGTGTACAGATCTTTGACGATGATCACAAGAGCATTCTGCAGGTGAGTTAATGTCAGGGAATTACAGAAACTTGTTTATTTCATCTTAAGATTAAACCACTTTACAGGGAAGTTAATTTAGCCTTATTTAACCTAGTCTACTACTAACCAAATGTAATCCCACCTAACGATTTCAACTAATCTAACCTGGACTAATTTAACCTAACCTGCTGCTAATCTAACTTAATCTACAATACTGTACAGGTGTACTGTTAATCTTCAGTTAATTTTTTCCCTGACTTTTTTCTATGGTATTTTTTTTCCTGTGACATTTTTTCTTGTGAAATCTTTCCTCCTCGTTCTTTTTTTTTTTTGTCTTTCCTTCCGTACGATAACTACTGTGAGAAAGATTCATATTTCTTTAACAGGAGAATTACTGTATGAGCATTTTCCTCTTTACTGCAGAGGATAATCTGATTACAGCAGATAATCTCTCCTGTTACTACAGACTTTGTCACACTTTTGGTTTAAATGAAGTTGGATTGTACAGAGAAAGTTTTGTATTTCATAATTATTTTTTTAGCTTAAATCAAGTACTCTCTCTCTCTCTCTCTCTGCATTGCTTCATTTCATTGCCTTTCAATCTCCTCTGATTTGTTAACTATCTCATTCTCTCTCACTGTTATTGCTGTGTTCACTCAATTAAATACCGGTCTTAATTAGCTACTGGTCTTAATTAGCTACCGGCCTTAATTAGCTACTGGTCTTAATTAGCTACCGGCCTTAATTAGCTACTGGTCTTAATTAGCTACTGGTCTTAATTAGCTACCGGCCTAAATTAGCTACCGGTCTTAATTAGCTACTGGTCTTAATTAGCTACCGGTCTTAATTAACTAACAGTCTTAATTAACTACCAGTCTTAATAACTACCGGTCTTAATTAACTACCAGACTTAATAACTACCAGTCTTAATTAACTACCAGTCTTAATAACTGTAGGTTATGTATATAAGCTACTGTGCCGGGTAGCATTTATATATATTATCACGTGGCAACACTGCACGTGTTATGTGGCAACATTGCCCCGAGGCTGCCATATGGCAAGGCAGCCTCAGTCTGACTGTGTGAGCCGTGCATGGCACACGCGAGTCACCACTTGTATTTCTCTCATCCATAATAAACGGACTTCAGTGTTACTCGGTGTTTCCCTACCCATCACTGCATTCCTCAGGGAACACTTGTAACCACCATGGCGCAGTGATTGGGATCTGTGGACTTACAAGTGTTTAAACAATGCCGAGACAGTTACGTCTGCCGGTGATGCGTCGACTCATAGTGTGTTGTGTTGTGTTGCGCTGTGTTTCGCCGCGATGTGCAGTGTTGGGCCGTCACAGTGCTTTTTAGTGACGGTGGCAGTGTTAGTGTCAGTGTATTAGTGTGTGTCTAGAGCTGAGAGTTGAGCATTGGCCTGTTTTGTTTGTGGTACCCACGGAGCACGCAGGCGTACACCCTTCTCGTGTGACATCCCGGGAGACACTGATGCCCGCCGCGTCTCCAGCCACCGGCATTAAGGCCACCACGAAGTGCTCTCTCAGACACACACACACGCACGCACGCACTCACTCACGGACAGAACAGTGGACTATATGCATTATTTCTGCGCTGTTTATGTCATATATATGTGGTTCAAGCTGTTGAGGCGCCACTTTATAAACTAAACAGTGCAGTCCACGCACACACAAAAGATGGGAGGTAAGAAGGGACAATGTCAAGATGGGAGACACGACTCCCCACCACCTTCTCCTCCACCCGGCGCAGACTCTCATCCTCCACCTCCAGTGACGGACATTGCCACAATTCTGAGGTGGATGGACGACCGGGACGAGCGACATAGAGAGATGGAACTTCAGAGGGAGGAGACACGAAGAGAGGAGGAAAAGTTGCGTTTTGAGGCACTATTGGCGACCCTGGCGCTAACCCACCCTCCCTCACTCGCAGGTAGCGTGCTTCAAGGCGCCAGTACACTCCCTCCTCCACCACACCAGCGTCCTCCAGATACTCTTGCTACCCCAACAGCTCCCAAGGCATCTGTTCAACCCCCACCCGCCCTCTCACCAGACGTCACGTTTCAGCTTTTTCGTGAGTGGAGGCGGCGTTGGACAGATTACTCCACGATGGTGGACCTTGACAGCATGCCTCCAAACAAACAGCTCATCCAACTGCGGATGTGTTTGTCGCTGGAGACCCAGAGAGTTTTGGAGCACACGTTGCAAGTGCCTCCCGATTCTACATCTTCAGTGACGGATGTGCTCGACCTTTTACAGGAGCATGTTAAGGGTCGGAATAACGAGGCTTTGCGTCGCCGTGCCTTCACCAGCTGCAAGCAGGCGGAGAACGAATCCTTTGACGACTTTTTTGTACGCTTGAAGAGTTTGTCAGAGGAGATCGACGTCTGCAAGGCGCACAGCCGGGAATGTGAGGAAGCCTGGATCAAGCACGGGATCTTGACAGGTGTCAGGCAGGAAGAGTTGGTGCAGCGACTCATCCCCCTGGACGCTTCCTCCACACTCCAGGTGGTAGTGACTGAATGTCGGTCATACGAGGCCACCAAGTCCGCCACCTCTGCCTTACGGGCCCCACCTGCTGTGAGAGCTATCTCACAATACAAGAAGGGTAAGAAGGCGGCCAACAACGCGAAGGCTGCCACACGTTCTTCCACGCCTCCGCCTAGTGCTTCCTGTGGCAGCTGTGGAAAGCAGCACAGCCCCAAGACATGCCCGGCCGCCGACGCACTGTGTCGTGGATGTGACCGTAAGGGCCACTGGTCTAACACAGACAGGTGCCCTGCACGAGGCCGCAAGTGTCAGGCCTGCGGTCGCTATGGACACTACGACAAGTGCTGCCGCCAACCCAAGCCCAAAAGCCCGAGACGAGGAGGAAAGCAGCGCACTTCCCTCGGGGTGGTTCGCACGCAGCCCCCTCCAGATGGCCCACGCAGCCCCAAGCAGCAGCGGAGTCACATCAGGAGGGTGGAATCGACCACACGCCCCAGGGCTACCCCTTCCCCTACCATCCGCGTCGCCGTCACACACGGTGATGTGTCGGGTCACATCGAGGTGATACCGGACACCGGCGCTGATACTACGGTGATTGGGTTGAAGCACCTCCAGAAACTGGGCCTCACCAAACGTGACCTGGGACCACCGCCGCAGCTGCTGTACTACAATGCGGACGGTTCCCAGATGCCGGACGCTGTGGGCTCCTTTCAAGCAGAGATCACCTACGGCGACAGGTCGTGTCACGGATGGATCGACGTGCAGCCTACTCTCGCTACACCCTTGTTGTCGTGGGAGCACCTCAAGGAGTTATGCGTGGTGCCCAGAGACTTTCCCGAGCAGATCCCAGCTGCTCGGTACACCGCCAGCAGGGTGCGTGAGTCGACGAGCGACGCGCCTGGCGCTGCCACACGGAGCTGCCCAGAACCCGCGTCCACTCCCACCCACACAGGACGCTCCCCTGCCCAGATCCTGTATGGTCACCCTCTCCGCTCTTGCGTTCCTGCACACGCCAAGGCCTTTGCGAAGGACTGGCAGACCAGAGCCGAGAGCTGCGACCGCCGCGCCGCTACACGTGCCCAGGACGCCAAGGCTCGGTATGACGACCGTGCCCGCCCTCTTCAGCCAGTGGAGATTGGTGCCCTTGTCCGCGTCCAGGACCCGACGACGACACGTTGGGACAAGGTGGGCATAGTGATGGGCGTCGGCCGGTCGCGGGACTACAAGGTCAGGATGCCGAGCGGCCGTGTCTGGTGGAGGAACCGCCGCTTCCTCCGGCCAGTCCCACCCCCTGCTGCTGGCCCCCTGACCGAGGACGAGTCACCTACACCTCACGAGGATCCGCCCCACAGTGCACCTCGACGCTCGGAGCGACTTAGGACTAAGAAGTCCGCTCAAGACAAAGACTATGAGCGTGAGGGGGGAGGGAGATGTAGGTTATGTATATAAGCTACTGTGCCGAGTAGCAACCCTGTATATAAGCTACTGTGCCGAGTAGCATTTATATATATTATCACGTGGCAACACTGCACATTATGTGGCAACATTGCCCCGAGGCTGCCATATGGCAAGGCAGCCTCAGTCTGACTGTGTGAGCCGTGCATGGCACACGCTAGTCACCACTTGTATTTCTCTCATCCATAATAAACGGACTTCAGTGTTACTCGGTGTTTCCCTACCCATCACTGCATTCCTCAGGGAACACTTGTAAACACCAATAACTACCAGTCTTAATTTACTACCGGTCTTAATTAACTACGGGTCTTTACCTTCCCCGCAGCTGACAGTGACACACCCCGAGATGTTTGGAGATTACGTGTGTAAAGCCGAAAATAAACTGGGTACACTGGAGCGAGTGATCATCTTAGAAAAAGGGGCTAAACCAGCTGTGCCCACTGCCAAGGTGAGAGATGATCCTGTTATGGTACTTCCCTGAGAGGATCCTGTTATGGTACTTCCCTGAGAGGATCCTGTTGTGGTACTTCCCTGAGAGGATCCTGTTGTGGTACTTCCCTGAGAGGATCCTGTTGTGGTACTTCCCTGAGAGGATCCTGTTATGGTACTTCCCTGAGAGGATCCTGTTGTGGTACTTCCCTGAGAGGACCTTGTTATGGTACTTCCCTGAGAGGATCCTGTTGTGGTACTTCCCTGTTACACACACTCAACAAGATACTGTACCCAATTAATATCATGTGGCAGTAGCAAACCTTTTCCATAAGTATTACTCTGTGTTCTCTTCTTTACACACACACAGACACACACACAGTATATATTTGTAATGACACTCCAGCTTATTTCACTTGATTTTTACTGAACCTAATCCAATCAGCTCCATTTAGTGTTTAAATATGCTTGGGTGTCTAATCTTCAGGTGATCCCAACTTTCCTCATTCTCATTCCTACGGGTTTTTTCACTAACAATTTAAACTTTTTCGTGGTATAGTCCACTGAATGTAATCACCAGCAAAATGAATCTGATTCACCTTTTATTTACATTTATCTCACCCTTTATTTACATTTATCTCACCTTTTGTTTACATCTGACTCGCCTTTTGTTTACATCTGACTCGCCTTTTGTTTACATCTGATTCACCTTTTGTTTACATCTGACTCGCCTTTTGTTTACATCTGACTCGCCTTTTGTTTACATCTGACTCTCCTTTTGTTTACATCTAACTCACCCTTTGTTTACATCTGACTCACCTTTTGTTTACATCTGATTTACCTTTTGTTTACATCCCGTATATGATTACCTGTACTGTATTTTAAAACGTACAGTAAAATACTCTTGATCCTCATTCTCTTACAACCTATATCCACGAAAATAGTCAATAATTAGTAACACCGAATATCTTTAAAATATTTCTTAGTTTTCAATTGTTGTTGAGAAGTGTATTCTCTAATCTAGTGCCCATTAAGATCTTAGTTATTGAAGTATAATACTGTAATGCATTTTAACATCAATATTACATTTGCTGTTGAAAATGCAGTAATACATCATAATTTAGACTTTAGTTATTGAATTGTAGTCAAACATTATACTGTTAATCATCATCATCATCATCAGTAATTAAGTGTTGATAATGGCATATATTTTCTCCACAAAGGTCACCCATGCAGATGTCAATTCCCTACATCTAGCCCTGTCTGCCAAAAATTACCCCGAAATGCCCATTGTGGCTTACCGAGTACAGTACAAGATGGCAGGAGACGACTGGAAGTTTGCACATGCCATGGAGTTCGTGAAAGGTATTTTATGGAGAAATTCTATATAAATTCTCACTCAATTGAATCTCTCGTAAAGTTTCGTTAATCTTGTGTTGTTTTGTTTTATGTATCTGATGAATTATTATAGATATGTTACTGAGAAGATTCAATCCTTATAGCTATTAAGATGTCAAACAATCATTTTTTTTGTGTGTGTGTGTGTGTAAGCAGGAGTTCTTAAACGTTTTTTGGCATCCTCTGGCTTCAGGTACAATATATTTCTCCAAGGTGCAATAAGTACACATTACTCTTCCCTCCCCCCTTCCCCAGGTGACAAGTACATCATCAATGGTCTGGCCGATGACACACTGTATGTGCTGCGTGCGTCAGCCAAGAATGTCGCTGGCTACTCTGATTTTTCTGAAGAAGTGATGGAGAAGACCAAGAAAGTCAAGTTTGATTCTGTCTTTGCCTCTTGTAATGCCATTGGATCATCTGCTGCCATCTTATTTTCCCTTGTCCTTTCTATCATCTTCTTGTGAACTTGAGAAGCAGAGAGCGTGTTGTAGCTTGTGTTAGCTTGAGAGAAACATGACTTTATACTCATTATTATTTGCAAATTTTAGCTCCTATAAGTATTATAAAAGGGAATGGATTATATGGGAAAATTCTATAAGAAAAAATAATGTAATTAGAAGAGTATTGGGTATGCAGCATTTAGCTCCCTTATAAGTACTGTACACTTTAGGGTGGATGCCATTCAGGTCATTCTCAGTGATACTCATTATGAGCTGAACAAGTATTGTGATCTGAAATAAAACCAAATTATTGTATCGAGACAGTTGTTCATACACTTTGTCACTGCTCAGTTTATCCTCATTTGTCTTTTATTTATGTGGGCTGTTCTATTTTTTCTCCCTTTTTCTTAGGCTGATAGACATTTTCAGTACCCAGGATTATTATACATACTATATATTTCTGCTGCTTTATAATGCTAGATAATATTTTGACTGTGTGAATATTTCTACCGCTTCTCAGTAAGTGTGGTATAAGACACCACAACCTTAGTTATACAGTAATTGTATTTTTTAATATGCTGAAAGTCATAGTACAGTAATTATAAATATGATTATAATTTCAGTCAAGTGTCCAAGAAGTATTGTGTAAATTATGACTTTCCCATAACACAACCTGCAGCCAAGACTAAAAACAAATTATGCAATCTTCGCATGTAACGTACTCAGAAATAGATATTACATAGAATTCTGCTAACATTCCACATGTTAGGTAAACTAGAGTATACAGTACATATGTCTACCACAAGAACTGGAAAGTAATATTGTTATGAACTGTGATGTGGTTCAACCTTCACTTATCATAATACCTCCTAGTCATTGGCCATAAGTGAAGCTTGAGTTAAGTAAGATAAAGTCATTAACGTTACACATGAGTAACATTGAGGGCTGTGTGAGAAAAATGTAAATATCTGAAGTTACCAATTTAACGACTTCCTGAACTCTCCTGTTTGTAGCATAGTATTTAAAGAGATGGAACCTGAGTTATCCAGAGAGCCAGGTAATGTTAGCTCCCGGGATATTTACATTTGACAGAAACTCATTGTTCCTTCATCTGACGCTTGAGTTCGGTGGATCTATGATGGCGAATGTTGATAATTTTCGTGTTTGGGTCTTTTATTCCCAACTGTTGTTCATTGTAAGTGATGTTTCTAAATAAATTTGGGTTAATTTAACTTAAACAAATCTTGTATACCATGTTAGTGAAATGTTGTGCTTATTAATTATATATTTAGACTTACTTCCTTCGTGTTTTGCTGTGGTGAGTCTAAGAGAGGCATTGGACTGTATCTATCCTTGCCCTTTGATTTGTTTTTCCTAGGGGTTATTAAATATCTCATGCATTGAAAGTTATTCCTCAAAAAATATACAGTATTATATTTTAACATTTCACTGCATTTGAAAAACTTATCTACACAAGTTAAATTGATAATGAGGATCATTTTTTTTGATGAATGTGAATTAAATTTGTAAATTTAAATGAAACTCGTGTAGAAAAAAATGTTATTCACCGTTGTATGCTGTACATATTAGCTATGGCTATGACCCTCCTGTGATGTAACTGAGCGACTCTTTATATCTGATTATGTATGATAAAATTTGCTCATTCGTATTAAAAAATATTCTATACTCCCTTCATCCAATATCAGATTATATTTTGCATATATTATAACATATGCAGTGATGATTATATTTTCCCTATACTGCTCACTACAGTAGCATTTTTTTGGTGTCACTTTACACCACAGGAGACAATTGTTGTGCGATCTAGGATGTCTTGGTATGAAGACGCTGACCAAATGTGCAAAGTGATTTTTTTTTCTCTGCCATTTTTCCTACTTTTAGAATGTAGTTATATATTCAACTCGTGGTGTATGCTGAGTATGTCATCATTCAGTTCCTCACTAACTTTTGCTGCTGATTTTGTCATGGCTCAGTGACTCACTAGTTAACTGAGACCACCATCACTCAGGCTATTGTTGCTGAATGCCAGACTAACTTAAATATCACTCACTGAGATTTGCTGTGTTACATGTCAAGGTAATCATTCAAAACTTACACTGTAACTATAGGAATATTGCTAAGTATTTAGTGACTGTTTCTATGCAGAGACTTTTGCTAAGAAGTCCGTCATCAGTCATTCTATCAGTAGTCTGTGGTGGGTTGAGAATGATACCTTGAGAAGTTGGGTGTTACAGCACTGGCAGTAAGAGTGAGTCCTGTATTAACTTTGTATTTATTATTGTCCAGTCACAGTTACAGAGGATATTGTCAAACTGTCGTACTTGGCTAATAAATTTAAAAACCAAAGATTTTGAAATTTTTAGTGAATTTTTTGTAGTACTGTCCATAGATTCGTAACTTGATGTCATGTGTCAAGATTTGTTAGCCCTGTATGACAAGAATATATTTGTAGAGGTAAAATGAAACATGTGAGTTTGTGATGGTATTGCTAGAAGAGGTTATTTTGATCTTCAGTTTACAGGTATATGAAGACTTTACTCATAAGTGATTTGATTGATGACGAAATTTTTTTTTTTGTTAGGTCAGTGAATTGAATGAGTAGGACTTGCTGTATAATTTCATCACCTAGATGGTATAAGTGAGCCAGGTATAAGGCTCAGTGATTGACTTAACAGCATGCCACAAATATAATGAAGGGAAGCAACTGTTTCATCCCACTGGCAAGCAAACGACTGTGTGTGAGCTATTGCTGTATGTGTGAGTGAGTGAGTATATGCCGTGTGTTACTTGAATAATACTGTACTGACACTATTATTGAACGTTATTATTTCCAGGAGTGTGTGTGTGTGTGTGTGTGTGTGTGTGTGTGTGTGTGTGTGTGTGTGTGTGTGTGTGTGTGTGTGTGTGTGTTCTTGTGGTGTAGTTTCTAAGCTTGTAGCACTCAACAAGGGGGGATGAACATTTATATAAACATTCGAAAGTTGATTTAGCACACTGAACAGGAGCTGACAGGGTGACAGAATAATGCCATGATGGAATGGGGCCAAAATTTCCTGATTATTTAAGGCATCCAGGTTTTTGTTCAGTCTCCCCAAAAATGATCAGTATTATTCTTGTAGTACAAAATTAAGAAAACTACATTTCATAAATCATACAGATATTGCTCATGAATTAAGACTACTTATATATAGTTAGAATTCTCTTATAATAATCATAATCCTGTTTGAATTTAATATGTTTAATTGAGATTTTGTTTAATTTTTGCTCTTTCACAGTATAATTCTTATGGTGGCAAAAACGTGGCCAGTCCAGCAGGCATTATATCTGTGGTCCTGTTGTGTGAGGTGTTCAGGTGCTGGTGTGTGTCATCCCTTGATGTATATACCAGTTTGGCTCAGTTGAACAAATAAAAAAGTGCCGGAAGTGTGTACTGTATTAGCTTTTACTTTCCTTTATCCTGTTAAGTGAAACAAGTGGCACTGGGTTGAGAAATAACTTGGATCTCTTGAAGATTATGAACAAATTTTTCAAAACTTAAGGAAAAATCCATTTGATTTTTATTCAAATACCTGTACAGTATTTTAAAAATATGTACCGTATAACTAAAAAAATATAGAAAAAATGAAAATAAAAAAAATATAAGAACAATTAAGAACAAAGTAAATTTAAAATATACTGTAGTCAAACAAAAAATCCATAAGAAGTTCATAGAATTCAAAACATTTTCCAAACAAATTTGGATGGTCTTATAAAATAAATGACTAAACTGCATTACAGGTATTAGTCAATATATCTTTTGATATTGTAACGGTATGGGTGGTTGCAAGGCTAGTTCTATTTGGGGGCCCTTTTCAATATGCAAAATATATCATACACAGTATATGGTAATTATTCTGACCTTGACTGTTGCTAGTTTGGTGGACAATAATGAAGCGCTGAGTAATGCAAGGGTGAACTTGTGGGGTAGGAGATGTTGGGTTCACACTCAGGATGGGATGGAGAAAGGAAACTCACAATGTGCTCTCTGTATACATATTATATTGGATGTACAATGCAGTTTGGTGGCTGGTGCTGGGAGGAGGCAGCGTGGTTACATGCGTGAATAGGGAGAGCTGGTTGGTGAGGGTGCTCAGAGGAGGACCAGCTTGTGGGTCGCCATGCTCGCCGGCGGGAGCGAGGGCCGCCAGGCAGGAGGAGGGGGTGTTGCTTGCTGGTTGGTGTCGGTAGAAAGATCTAGGTCACCACGAGGTCAGGTCTTATATAGCGGAGGTAGGCGTGGCTTAATAGTTGACCTCCGTTATGTAAGGCGGCGCTGGTTGACCTAGACCACGAGGCATACACTGGGGAATTCGCGGGGTCGGCTACTCGGTGACAAACAGCGTTTGTAGGGGAGGAATCCACTACAAACTCGCCACCCAAGCGAAAATGCGATTTTTGTACCATTCATTTCAGAAAGTTTTACTCTACTATGACACAAGATGATCTGGTGAATTCGCCTTTGGTGTACTGACAAAATCCTATTGAATCATATAGTGTAAAACTCCCGACGTTTCTGTGTTGCTTGTGTTCATTTCAGCGTCAGGCGAGAGTAAAGCAAGGTCGAACTCGCTATTGAACCGGCAACCAATCACAGCCTGCCTTACTCCCTAAGCTAATCAGCGTGTCAGAAAGGAGATTGCCGACTAATGAGAAGCCTGCCACGTTCAATTTTCCGCACCCAGGAGGAGGAAGATGTGTCTGATGATCAGATAGACTACTAGCCACCTACCCTACCCCCCCTCCCTCCCCCTGCTACCAAGTTCTTCAGCAGAGCATAATCATCATCTAGAGTGAGTGTTACCATTATTTGTTATGTTTTTTACATTATTACAACATAAATTTATTGTCTTGTGTACACAACTTTATTATTATTTCATTATTTTCATGACTTAATTTCACACATCATTTGACGTTAGTGTGCACCTAAATCATACATCACACTTCATTTATTACAAGGATCATATTCTGCTTTAAATTACCTTTAAAGTAAGACCTCATTGAACAGAATTTATGATTTTGGAGGTTCTAGGATGTTTTGAAAATGGGCAAACCTCAAACCTCGTCTACTCAAAACTTGGGTTTTGGCCCATAGGCCCTGGCATTAATAAACGCCTAAATTTTTGTCTCATTTTGATCAATATTTGATGCTTAATGCGATGGAGATCGTCTTTTTTGTAAAAAAAAAAAAAAAAAAAATTACGTTACTACGCCCTAACCTTGACTAACCTAACCTACCCAATTATAACCTAACAAATCCTACGTATTTCCACGCAGTTAAGTCACAGAGGGGCTGGGACGGTACCATCTTCAGTCGATAATTTTCCCAGCTGACAAAAACGGACTTCCTTACAAAAATCACTTTCAGATATTAATCATTTCCACAATTTCGGTTTCAGTTTCCTCAATATATGTTTCTCTTCAATGAGAAACGGCCGTAGTAGTGTAAAAAAAAAAAAAAAAAAAAAACATGGGTTGACTGTGTGGCGGCTTTGGTATAATCAAATGTGCAAGTCTTCCATAACCATCAATGACATCACTAATGTTTTTTTACAGGCACAGGTCACTGACCCACATCTCGCCTCTGGGGCGAAAATGTAACAATTATTCATAGTAAATTAAATTTATAATAAAAAAATTAAATAAAATAGTAATGATAATACTGTAGTGGATTCCTCCCCTACAAACGCTGTTTGTCGCTGAATAGCCGACCCCACCAATTCCCCAGTGTATGCCTCGTGGTCTAGGTCAACCAGTGCCGCCATACATCACGGAGCGGGGGTCATCTACTAAGCCATGCCTACCCCCCCGCTATTTAAGACCTGACCTCGTGGTGACCTGGCTCTTTCTACCTACACCAACCAGCCAGCAACACCTCCTCCTCCTCCGCCGCTGCCTGGCGGTCCTCGCTCCCGCCGGTGAGCATAGCGACCCACAAGCTGGTCCTCCTCTGAGCCTCCTCACCAACCAGCTCTCTCTACATCACGCTTGTAACCATGCTGCCTTCCCAGCACCAAGTTGCATTGTACATCCAATACAACATGTATACAGAGAGCACATTGTGAGTTTCCTTTCTCCATCCCATCCTGAGTGAGAACACCAAACAAACATCCATTACCCCACAAATGGTGACCCCCGGAGATTCGCACTCACACAGGATGGAGGAGAAACTGATCACGCTCCCAGTCTTCAAGCAACATGGAAGACTGGCTTATCCACCCAGAAGCAGCTCTCATCGGCTCTACAACTACTGTCTCTACACCGCAGGTTAGACACCCTAGAGCATCACTGCTTCTCTAAGCAGACACCAGCTCCTTCTTCCTGTCCCAAGCACCACGTCCTACCGACCCCAGCACACCCGTCCTGCCTCAGACGCCGACACCGGCCCAGCAGTAACCCCTGCCGCCCCTGATCCGGCCCCTGCTCCTGACGCGGACCAACACACCCGTCCTGCCTCAGACGCCGACCCCGGCCCAGCAGTACCCCCTGCCGCTTCTCCTGACGCGGCCCCTGTTCCTGAGTGTGGACCCACACACCCTTCTTTTCTCCCTCAGGTACTCCCTGCTAATGTCCTGCACCCTGCTGCTGTTGTGGACCCAGCTGCTGTCACGAGCCCTCATCCGCTTCTGCTGACGCAGCCCCTGCTCCTGACCCAGGCCCACACACCCCAGCAGGCGCATCTGACGACTCTGTACCTGTCGTGAGAGAAGCACAACATTCATCGCCTCCACACACCCTTTTTCTCCCTCTTTACTCCCACAGATATTGTGTATCTAGACAGTTGTATCCAGCGACCGGCTCATCCACGCCATCGCCGTTGTCTCACATGAGGCATGCACCACCCGTTCTGCCTCACATGTGCTATGCAACCCTGCAGACAACAAGTCTCCTACACCGCCTGGAGGGAAGGGGGAGTATTGTAGTGGATTTCTCCCCTACAAACGCTGTTTGTCGCTGAGTAGCCGACCCCACCAATTCCCCAGTGTATGCCTCGTGGTCTAGGTCAACCAGCGCCGCCATACATCACGGAGCGGGGGTCAACTACTAAGCCACGCCTACCCCCCGCTATTTAAGACCTGACCTCGTGGTGACCTGGCTCTTTCTACCTACACCAACCAGCCAGCAACACCTCCTCCTCCGCCGCTGCCTGGCGGTCCTCTCTCCCGCCGGCGAGCATGGCGACCCACAAGCTGTCCTCCTCTGAGCATCCTCACCAACCAGCTCTCTCTACATCACGCTTGTAACCATGCTGCCTTCCCAGCACCAAGCTGCATTGTACATCCAATACAACATGTATACATAAGAACATAAGAAAATAAGGAGTCTGCAATAGGCCGGTTGGCCTGTGCATGGCAGCTCCTGTCGAGAGTTACTACCACTCTCTATCATCCATGAATCTATCTAGCCTCCTTTTGAAACTTTCCAGAGTTCCCGCACTTACTACAAAGTTGCTAAGCTTGTTCCACTCGTCCACCACCCTATTTGTGAACCAGTTTCTTCCTATCTCCTCCTAAACCTAAACTTATCCAACTTGAATCCGTTGCTCCGAGTCCTATCCTGCTCGGATATTATAAGAACTTTATCTATATCCCCTTTATTGATTCCTTTCACCCACTTAAATACTTCTATCATATCTCCCCGCACTCTTCGTCTTTCTAGGGAATGCAAGTTAAGTTTCTTTAACCTATCCTGATATGGAAGGTTTCTAAGTCCCGAATCATTTTTGTCATTCTTCGCTGCACCGACTCTAGTGAATTTATATCCATTCTATAATAGGGGCACCAGAACTGAACCACATAATCGAGGTGCGGCCTAACTAGCGCAAGATATAGTTGCAATAAGACCTCTGCACTCTTGTTACTTACACTTCTAGATATAAAACCCAATACTCTGTTTGCCTTATTTCGAACATTAACGCACTGTTTTCTAGGCCGTAGGTCCGGGCTTACAAGTACCCCTAGGTCTCTTTCACAAGTCGACTTCTCTAGGTTGATGTTGTTAAGGCTGTATACATTATAAGTATTTGTTCTTCCAATATTAAGTACGCTGCACTTGCTGGTGTTGAATTTCATTTGCCATTTTTCAGACCACCTGCAGTTTATTTAGATCCTCTTGTAATGCATTTGCATCCTGCCCTGAATTAATTTGCCGCCCTATTTTGGTGTCATCCGCAAACTTGCTTATGTCACTGCTGATCCCAGTATCTAAATCGTTTATGTAGATTATGAACAAGAGTGGGCCTAGTACTGACCCCTGGGGAACCCCACTGGTTACACGGCCCCACTCAGATTTAACACCATCTACGCTGACCCTCTGCGTTCTATCGGTGAGCCATGATTTTATCCAATTTAAAACTTTCCCCTCGATACCATGAGCCTTAATTTTTCTCAGA